TACAATGTGGATCATAATGAGGAGGACATCAGGGAAAACAGTTTGATCACAAATGCTTTTGAAAGCATCCCATTGCTATATATATACAGAATGAAATTACAGACAATGTTGCAAGTGCTTTCCTCAATAGGAAAATATACTGTGTTCTCCGCCTGATGAATGCAAACAAATATTAGTCACAACCTTAAACTAGATATTAGTATAAGAAATGTGAACTCTTTCAATCAAAAATGACAATGAATAGAAAAGAGGGCCAGTTTGGATAATCAGGAGTTTTGAACTGAAAATTCAGAGATGCCCTTTCCCAACATATTTCATTGTCATTTTTAGGGGTCTGCATGCATATGGGAGGTCCCGATCACGCTTTGCACTAAATTCCTGAAGGCAGTATCCACGATTTATTCTTCGTTCATGCGGACTGGATGCTTAGCACACAGTCTTAGTTCGACTTTGAATTATGCAAAATTCAAATGGCAAGGCACAAAAGTATGTGAAGCAGCGACCCGGTATTTACGCTTGATTCGCGCAGGCTAAACGCTTCGCGCAGGCTAAACGCTTCACCCATAATGCAAGATTACTTAACATTAACGACCTGACTTTGCATTGCGCGAATCTAATACAAATGCTTACGCATTGCGGCATGCAGACCCCATTTTCGAAAGAGTTCTAATAATAAAAGCCAACTCACGGCCACGGTCCGATGTTCTCTTGTCTCGTAGTCGTAGATAGGTGACAGGTCCCTCGGGAACACACACAGGCAAATCCTCCTTGAATAGAACAGGAACACAGGATAGCTGACAGATCCTTTGGGAATATAGACAGGAACACAGACAGGTCCCACAGCACACACAGGAACATGGTCAGGTACAGCCTCGGCTTCCCATCAGCTCTAGGGTGTAAAAGAGATAAACATTCAGAAAAATCTCATGCCAAACTTATATACACCAAGGACACACCAATGTTGACAATATTCACATAACATGTATGGCATCATACATTGGTTGGGGGAAGAGCACATGGAACATTATTGTTAGTGAGGCAAAAGAGGAGCGCAACAAACAGTGACTACAAATGTAGAATTTGTATCATAACCAAACAACTAGTCATATGAAAATACATGTACATCTCAAACGAGAAATCACATAAGGTATCCCATTTCATTGTTTTTAAAACCTGCTTTGGTTGGGGGAAGAGCACATGGGACATTGTTAGTAAGGCAAAACAAGAGCACATCAAACAGTAAACATACATCTAGAATATCATAACAACAATCACATGAAAATACAATACACACAAGATGTCACATTAATGTCACAATCCAAATAACAATGTTACAGTTATATATATAATATATGCATCACATATTCACATTCATTAGATTACAAATAGGTACAAAAACATCAGAGCCAACGACACACATGAAATGCATTCCAAATATCAGTTCATGGAAATTGAAAAACATATCAAGCTCATACGTACAGAAATGAAACAGTAATTTGACAACAGTGTACAAAGCATATCTTAAAGGTACTCAAGAAGTTCTGCAAAAAAGACAAACATAAAATAAAGTAACAATTTCAAATAACACCAAGTGAGAAATCCACCTCAAAGTTATTAAACAGCAGCTCATATGATGACTTTATCCAGTGTCACATCTGAAAAAATTACATTTGGAGGCAAACACTGAACTTCTTGAACTGGGGACAAACAAAAGTGATACATCGGAATCGGATACAGTCATGTGTTACCACAAACATGAAACCTGAGTACTGTGCATGGTTCTAAAAAACACACAGTACATGATGGATACAATACTTATTAAGTTTTATAATAAGTCACACATTTTGACACGCATCAAGTACTTTATACAATTGCTAAATACAGTAATAAAATATATGGAGAAAAACATATGTCATGCCAAACATGTATTTATACATCACTATCAAATAAACCATCATCATCACATGCAAACACGTCAATGAAACTGTCATGATTTCATTTTTAACAATCATTGCACACATACAATTATATCAACTAGTATTAATAAGATTTCAACTTAGGAAGCAGTTCAAGTTTTCAATGATGAAATTGGTTGATAAAAGAACAGTCCTCCTGGCTCCAGTAACTTTGTAACTTTAAGTGAATAAGATTAAATCTGTGATCAACAAGTCATGAAGGGACTTTGAGATGCCCCTTCGTGTAAACAGACCTGCAACAGAGAAGGGATTCAAACTCAGGACCACAACACCACCTGACCATTTGTACAACTACAACAGAACACAAAACTACGGTACCTCTGAAAACGCTTCCCTTGATTTGGAGCTGCTTGATGAATTCACTTCAGAATCTGGAACAACATTATAGGAGCTTCAGTACTCTAAACGTTACTACAACAGCAACAAGGCATGCACATTATCATATTCAAGCTCTGTCATCAATTTGTCTAAGGTTTACACGACAAATACCAAATACTCCAACCTCAGATTTTACAATAGTCAAGTTCGAGAGTTTGCGATTTACCGCTCAACAACTGGTTAACATGCATAGAAAAGTTCTGACCTGTTCCAGACCGAAACACCGTCTCCCTTACAGCCCTCTAAGCCTATGGTGGATTCTTTGTGTCTTTTCTACCGAAAAATTTAGCTTCCTGGGCACTATGTAACGTATATTACCCTGCATATAAATTATAAACAACTCTGTTACCACCCCCCTCCCCAGTTGAACTTAAATACAGGTCATCTGTCTCCCCTCCTTTCAAATCTATCACCTTGTCCATGTCAGCCTCTTCACAATCAGCACTATAGTGTCCCTCCTACCTTCTCTCGGCCACGAAAAACGTTTGTTTTATATTGAAACGCATAAAATTTACCGAAAAACAGAGGACAAGAACAAACCAAGTTTCAAGGAAAGCTGTTCAGGTCAGGGGTCACATGTGTACATTGGACCACACAAAAGCGCCCTCGGCGGTTGCTTAAGTTACTGCAGCATTAACTCGTGGGGGACAGTTGCTGCAACTTATTTTCTACGTTCAGTCTTTTTGCTCCATTTAACTTAAATGAGATTTATCTACAATAGTCCGGAGAGTATCTACGACAAGTTAAAGCACAAGTTACCACCAAAGTGGACGTGGTGCGTCTTCCTGGGCGTATTTTTTACCCGCTCGTTCTTCCCGTCCATGCACACTCGATGGCCATCTTGGAACGGCGTGTTTCAGCACAGGTGGTGCGTGCCACCTGTAAATCATGAGCAAAATTTAAATCCGATAATCAAGTTAATTTAAGATTAACAACAGGCCAATGAACAATCATCACACTGATGCAGGCCTGAAAATTACGATGATTTAATCATGGCTTTTATTTTACAATTTTTCTATCCTCATCATTATTAAATCAAACTATAAACTTAAGAGGGAAACGCACTGAAAAGGCAATAAATGATCTTGGTTTGACCCATTTATCTTTTAAATGAAGACAAGAACATTTTCTACCTAGTAGGTGACAACTTACAAACATTACAGCTATTGCGATAAATATCTCTCTATAGTGACTCGGTACAAGACTAACTTCAAGCGACATAAATGTACGTGTATCATATCAACGTTACTTCGATCTTCAAGTGATCATTTCTCTTTATCGACGCTTTTTAAAACTGAAGATCCAATTTACTGATCGGCTGAAATCACTTCCTTAAAAGCGATTATCATGATATTTTGAACAAGCCATTTATCTACATGTATGTGATGTGAGGTTTAGACGTGTACAACGTACATATCGTAACCAAATGTGAACCTGTTATCTAGACTGGTTAAGGTCACCTCTGACAAAGACGCATTTTCACCACATTCTAAAGGAGATGGAGGCATCAAACACACGGTGGGACACTGGCACCTATGAGAGTACACTTCTAGTACATTCGCTATGCTTTCCCTCACTTCCCCTGATCTTATTGCCCATTGTAGGACATTATAGGCGCTTCACTAGCATACTTGTAAAGTAAAAGTGCTTGCTAGGTTAATGTTTTTGCTTGCTTGCATGATTATATACCGGCTGCCAAGTGTATTTCAAGCCTCCATGAGATGCGTACTTTGCCCATTCAGAAGAGGCGTGAAGGATAGAGATTGTGGATTCGGATTGAAACGGATGGAGAGATAATGTACAGTCAAGGAGGACATCTCAGTAGGAGTCGATGAAAGATAGATTGTGAGAGCTTGCGGGTAAACGATAATACATGTAATAGAAGAGGTATGAGTGTGTACAAGCAGCCCTTCTGCTTCTGTTGAATGCTTGTTAACTCAATACATTACTCAAAGACATACGGAAATCATCTAGAACTGTGCCTGTGAGCGACATAGCTCAAAACACACACAAAAACCCTGCCAATTTCTTATGAAAAATTGAAACTCTCAGTAGACCAGCTACTTAACTAATAGCAATATGTAACTCTTCCGGTTTGCAGTGCCCCAAATTAGGTTCTCTTGGGGGTTACGATTTTTACATGATCGACGTACAAATTTCAATTCTTCCGGAAAATACAAGTGTTTTCAATAAGTATTCAACAGTAAAGTTGTAACACACAACACACACCATTGAAACACACACACAAACAGACACAGTTGAAACACACAAACAGACAGACACAGTTGAAACACACACACAAACCAACTGACAAAAAGATCAGTAGACAATGTGGCTACATTTGTGGTAAATCATACAATACCATGTATTTATTCAGATGACTGAAGAGAGTGTCAAAGCAAACAATGCTATCCATATATCAGATCAGTGTCCCTTTCTGTACTTCAGTGAATGTAACTTTAGTAAACAGCATCTTACATGTAGTGTTTCATAGGCAGCCTTAAAGGTAACCTTTGTTGGTGGGACAGAGTGTCAGCTCTAAATGCACATAATTTGTACAATATAATAACTGAAATGCAAATGGAAACTGATATAATGTATGTTGAACAGCTTTGTGCCATCGATAGTACAACATACATGTATTTGTGCTAGACAAAATCAGTAAAATATCTGACTTACATGGTGTAGATATTACCACATTACACACGTAGTAGATTATATTCTTACATTTCACACCACCAGCTTAAATTATAGGATTTTATGAATAAAAGCATCTATTTTTACCTTTTTCCAATACCAATAATATATATAATCAACTAAGACAAATTCATATTTCTTACATCAATGTCCTCAATAAAATTTCTTAAGTACTTTGATTTACCATTTGATTAAAATACACCACACACACACAAATCAAATTATTCCATTTGAGAGTTACAGTTACAAACACAGTCATGATCTTATTCACACGGGACTTTAATTACTGATAAGTGTCATACATGTAAGCAATTGATCAAAAGTGCCAGGGAATTTATATCGTCCAGCATCTCTATTAAGTGATGGCTGGAGTGTCCTGATATATATGGCCTCAATCAAAGTTAGGGAACATCCTCTCCCCCTCCCCCTGGTACTCCAGGATACACTGCTCATTAATGCACCACTGCCAGTTCTCTCCTGTCACAGACACCACTTCCACCGTCAGCTCCTGACCTATGACCCTCGACCCTTGCTCTCCCACGGTGGCGTCGGCGTGGATGAACGTTCCATCGGTGTGGACGATGGTGAAGCGGTGGAAGCCGCGCGATTGGATGGAGTTGGCCACGCCTTCGCAGAGCTCGACGATCGCCTTGGCGGGCTTCACGCGACACTGGCAGAGGGTGTCGCCACGAGTCACGAACCTCACCAACACTCCTGTGGGACACAGGGAAAACATCACTGTCTTAGTGCTGTCTAGTGATTAACAATTACATAATGAAGCTTGACAAGTCTTCAGGTATCACCATGGGAGAGCCCAGGGATACCTGAAAATCAGATCACCTGATCTGAGGTATACCCTGGTAAAATAAAAAATAAAAATAAATAAAATAAAATAAATAAACTTCTTCAGATACCCTTAGTAAGGAACACCACCAACACAACTGTAAGGTGCAGAAGAGAAACATCACTGTCTTAGTCTATAAAAACAGATTGGATTCATTCCTTAAACTAACAAACATCTACATGTATTACACCACAGTTGTCCCTCAGTAAGACATCTCGAGTCCCACAGTTCCTGCCTAGTAGTTTTATTCTGCTAATAAAAGCAATAAAAGTTCTAAACGGGAACTATGCGGCTCCAGATGTCTTACTGAGAGAAGACTGGGGTGTGATACATGTACATGTAGATGTTTGTTAGCTTGAGGGATGAATCCATCCTACTGCATGTGTAATTAAACTTTGAAGTTGTGTTACCAGAGGATCCACCGGACTCCACAGAGCTGTTGGAGATAGTCCTGATGATGTTCTGGGGGTCAGAGGGCGAGGGGGTTCCGGACTCCACACCAGATGATGTACCGTACTCCACCACCCGGTCCTGCAGAACAAGCACAAAAGTACATAATGAAAAGTCATGCCTTCAAGTACCACAGTTATCAACCAAGGATTGATATGTTCAAGAACTCATTCTTTCCTAGAAGTATCGCAGAATGGAACTCACTGTCACCAAGTACAGTGGAGGCATTATCACTAGATAGCTTTAAATAATGTTTAGAGTTAGATGTTCAAGGGTTAGGTGTAACAAGTCGTTCGGTGTAATGTAGCCAGCTGCCACCGCGCCGCATGCATGCCTGCGAAGCTGGTGTGTTACGCTGAAGGGTGGTTATACTGGCTATACAGATACAGAAGCTGGTGTGTTACCCTGAAGGGTGGTTATACCGGCTATACAGATACAGAAGCTGGTGTGTTACCCTGAAGGGTGGTTATACCGGCTATACAGATACAGAAGCTGGTGTGTTACCCTGAAGGGTGGTTATACCGGCTATACAGATACAGAAGCTGGTGTGTTACCCTGAAGGGTGGTTATACCGGCTATACAGATACAGAAGCTGGTGTGTTACCCTGAAGGGTGGTTATACTGGCTATCCAGACAGAGACAGAAAAGCATCTGCAAATTGGTGTACAAGTTGTGACAACCTCTGGTTGTTCCTTGCCGCCCAGGTAGGAGGATGCTGACAGCTGACTTGCTCTTTCCATCAGTTCCTCCTGCTCTTCCAGGTCATCGACCTCCAGTACACGGTTCATTAGAAACTCTGCAGATACAGGAAATTAAAAAGTCATCATTACATTCCATCTGTTTGTTTTATTAGGCTTCCCATCAGCATAAGTTTTACATTCTTCGTGGTACGTAGGTATTCTTCCTGGAGTTCATAATGAATCACCCGTGCGTAGCGTGCGTAGTCCAGTGGTTAGCGATCCTGCTTCTGGACTAAGAGGTTGGGAGTTCGAATCCCGGCTGATGTCGCTCACCCGACATGCACGCTACTGTTTAGGGTCGCAGTCCTTCGGACGGGACGTTAACCGTGGTCCACTGTTCATTGTGCTTGTCGAAAAGAGCTAGGGGAATTTCCCCGGTACAATGAACCTGTAAATACTGTACATAGCGTCTGTCTTCTCTGTCACGACCAGTGGAAGATTAGCTCTTCAATGAGCTAAACTGGATCGAGATCACTATCACTATCACTATCACCCACTCTCACTTTCAGCTTCAGTAACTGTTTTTTGGCACAACTTTCAGATAGCAGTATGAAAGAAGACCACTTGGGAATGATAAAATCTGGTCTATATGGCCAGGTGGTCACTATAGACAGGATTCTTAATGCTTGTGTCAGTGGGAAAAATGAACTAAGGGACCACAAAAAAGTGGTCACATTGGGCAGATGGTCCTCATAAAGAGGTGGTCACTTGTACAAGTTTGAATATATTCTTAACATACATGTAAACCACTGAAACATGAACTCACCAGACAAGAGTTGCTCCTCCACTTCCTCCACACTCTGGCTTGACGTACGAGACATTTCGCGCGCCAGTGTCCGGCTGGTGCTTCCACTAGAGCTCTTCCTCTCAAGGGTGAGGAGGGGGGCGTTTATGGGGCTCCCAAGGTCAAACAACGACCCTTTCCGTGGGCTACCCTGGGTCGTGAGCGACCCCTCTGTACTGGGAGAGCTGGCGGCAGCAACTGGGGGTGACTCGGGAGGGGTCTGTGGAAGAAGGGGGCTGTTCATTTCTGCTGTTGGGTGGGTGTCTAGGCCCGCTGCTACCTCCTCCTTCTCATCCGGAGTGTGGAGGGGGTGGGAGAAGGCACAGGCCAAACGGACACGGGAGCGATTTCCAAACGCCTGTAGGGAGGCAGGCTGGGTGGGAGGGGGGCTGGGTGTGCCGGCAGACATCGGGGGAGGGAGAGACTGTGGGCCAGGCTGCCAGGTGCATGGTACTGCTGCAGCGGTGGAGGTCACTGTGTCACTGTCTCCTGTAACATGGCAGAAACAATAGTTTAGGTCAGTTTTAGTTCATTCATTTCACCAGTTGTCGCCTGAAGCCCAACATGAAATAAAACAGTTGGATATCAGATTTTTTAAATTCAACTTCATTTTTGAGGAACGAATCTGGTAACATTGTCATCAAAACATGAGCATATTTTAGAAATGAAGAACTAACCTCTGAGTCCTTGAACACCTTGCAGCACCTGTGGCATCTTGTGCTTGTCCATTTCTCCCAGGTAGATGTCATCAAAGGATTCTTCTCCACTCAGGAACAGACCAGCTCCAGCCCCCAGCCGAGGTTGGGAGGGAAGGGTGACGCTCTGACGCACATGTAGAACTTGGGCGTCGCAGGTTTGGGTTTCTGGCTGTGCAGGGAAGGACAGCTGTGGATCTGGTAGACAGGCAACCACCTCTACTGGTGTGCAGCTGACTTTGCTTTCTTGTGGATGTGAGGGACTCGTCACCATTTCTGCAGACGCATGCTGTGGTGGTTGTTGTACATGTAGCTGACTGATTTCTTGCCCAGGGTTGTTGGCTGGGAGTTTGTTTGGAGTTGGATATTTCAGGGCAGGGTTTGTTGTGTTGAGCTGGTCTTTGTTGTGATCTCCTTCCTCTGTGGTGTCTGCAGGGAGAACTTGGAGCTTCACAGGCTGCTGGGTGATGTCTGTTGCTTTGTCCTGCCTCAGGAGTTGGTGTGAAGTGTCTTCTGTCTTGTCAGGACATCGCTGTTGCTCTCTGAGGTCCAGTCTCCCCTCTGGAGTAAGACGTCGCAGTTGGGTGGAACTCTCTGAAGACGTTGTTGGGGCATTGCTGCTGCTGCATTCTTCCAAGGAGCTCACTGGATGGAAGGCTTCCACAGTGACATCCTGAGAGCTTGAAGGTTCTCGTGTCACATCTTGGGTACCGCCTTTCTCATCATCAGCTGAAAAGTAAGAAAACAAGTCATGAGCCGGAGTTTCTTTACAGGTTGTTCACCACACAGGCCTTTAGTTCCAAACCGGTGGGTTTACACCTTCAAAATGCACTTTTCTCCACATGCCATATCCTCCACCAAAATGTGGAAGTTCACCCCTAATGTCGAGTGGAACAGTCCATACATTACAGCTGTGAATATGTGGATTTGCACAGTAGAGGAATAGTCTATTTGCAGCAAAGGTGGGTTTCCTCTCCATGCTACAAAAACCACCCCAGCTGAAGTGATGATAAAAACAGAAACCTGAGGAAAGTTGTAATTGTGCATGTGAGTCAGAAATCCAGGGCAGTCATCTTGTCAAACTTCACCATCGTTCTACAGGAGAAAAAGACATCTTTGATCAGAAGACAGAGCTTGGAGCTGAGATGCCAGCATAGGTTCACAAAATCAGAAGAAATTGTTTTCAGATGGAAGTCCCAAAGCCAGGTTTACATATCAATGCTAGCTGCTGTATAAGTGTCTATTCTTGAACAGCAAGGTATAAATTAATGGAAGATGGCTTTGTTATGTCCAACTGTTATTAAAAGACTTAAAAAGGATTGTGAATGTAAAAAATTGCCACTCATTGGAAATACTGTCTACTGTCTTCAGTTGCCAATTTCATACTGTACTGCAGCCACCAAAAGATCTGCTTGAAGAAAAGACCACGCTTTAAAAGGACTCCTCAAACATAGCAGAACGTTTCAACACTTACTGCCATTAGGCTGTTCCCTCCTGTGTGCACCCTCCCCGTGGCTGTTCCCTGCACCCCTGTTCAGCAGCCTGTACCCCTGACCTTCCCGCTCCTCCGGGGTCACGATCGTGTCCTTCTCACTGTCCCAACGCTCCTGGAGGTCACCAGGCTGGGAGCGTCCTGTTGGATTAGATTGGATTGAATTAGATTATCTTCCATATCTAATAAGGAACTCATATTTTCCATGAACTATCGTAGAGTGGAACTTGTTGCCACCAAGCACAGTTGGGGCATCACCAATAGAAAGCTTTAAACCTCTCCTGCAATTAAATGTGCAAAGAGTGGGTGTAACATAACAGGTCGTTCTGTGTGATATAGCTAGCTGCCGCCGCGCTGCATGCCTATATCCTATACTCTACCAATTTGATGAAACTATTTTGGGATTTCTCACCGTGTTCATCCTGGTCCAAATCATCCATGATCCTCCTCAGCTCGGACGTGGTCGGCCCGTACCCCCCTCCTGACACCTGGGGGGCCAGCTGGGGACTGTAGGGGGGTGTCAGGTCCTGGGGGGACGTCTCGGTGGGACTGGGGGGTCCCGACCCTACAGCACTGTAAACTGTGAGGAGGGAGGGAAAAGCAAAAGTATGTAAAAAAAGTTTCAAAGAGGTAAAGAGATCTTCCTTTAGAAATGTTACATAGATTAAAAATTTCAAGAACCAGAAATGGTCACAGTAGTCGGGTGATCTCTAGACACATACTATATAAGAAAAGCTTTAGCTTTGCAATAAAAGCTTTAGCTCCTCCACAACTGGTAATGTAAATGGCCTTTGGGTGTAGAAGGTACAGGGTTCAAACCTCAGCCAGGTCATACAAGGTACATACTCCTTTTTCTGCTTAGCACTCAGCACTTATATAAGAAAGAGTTTGAGTGTTAAACACATTACTCTATCAGATAAGAAGCTGTAGTGGCCTGTGTGGCCCAAGGGCTATAGAAACAGAGATGAGCACTGCCTCTATACACCGCGTGGTGTGGGAAGGATTTAAACTTTTTAAAAATCTTTCCTACCTTCTGTCAGCGCATCGTCTGCCATGGTGAGCATGGTGGAGGCAGAAGGGCGAGTGACAGGGTCGGGGTCCAGACCAATCCTCAGCAAACTCTGGAAACTCTCGTGGACCGACGAGGGAATCTCTGTCTGGATCTCTGCTGCCTTGTCAACAATCTGTAACACAGGATCGCGTCAATTCAGTTAGAGTTGCTCATACTGTAAACCTTTTGCATTGTGAAGCTGTAGTGATGATATTCATGTGGAAACAGCAGAACAAAATTTAATGTGGTCACATTGTGATTGTTGAGCCCTGACAGTATACTTTTTCTCAGGTTGTCCACTAGGGCGAAAAACTAGGTTGCCCGTCAAAATTTCAGGTTGCTGTCAATACTGGCTGTTTGTTTTAGAATAAAAGCCATAAGTCAGGCCACTTTATGGTATTGCTAACATGATGGTTGTGGCAGGACACAATTTACATGAATTTCAGAAGCCAAGCAACCTAGCGTCTCCAATAAGTCTCACACAGAAACCATGACTTGTGTGGCAGAAGTGGATATGATTTGATTACTTACAATGAGCAGCAGTGTAGCTGCGTGGCTGTAGCGGCGGATCCAGGGGTGACAGCCGTTCAGCATGTGCAGCCCCACGCAACACCCGCTCCACACGTCCACCTTACAGTTGTGGGGCTTACACTCAGCCACCTCCGTCGGCATGTGGGTCTGGGTACCCTGGAAAACAAACACAAAACTTACAACCCCAGAATTACAACCCAGTGTGAATTTGTAAACACTTGTTTCAAAGGCATTCAATGCCCATTCAGTGCCCTGGAAAACAAACACAAACTTACAACGAAGAAAATTTGTTAAAACTCTAAATCTGAAACTCTGAATCTGTAAATCCCTTGTTTTATGACGAGGGAAGAGAGACATGTGATTTAGTGGTACCATCATTAGCCTGATGTGTTTAACTGTTTTGTAAAAATCTAGTGATATAGTGTTTAATGTAATGGTAGCATAGCTTTATATGTTTAACTGTTTAGTAAACAATATAGAGCAAAACATGCCTTACAATAGAGATTTTGACCTCTTGCAAACTTTTACCATAACATATCAGAGAACCAAGGGAATTCAACATTCTTATGTGCGCTTTAGTATGTGGTGTTTGCAGTAAACCCACCTCAGGAAAGGCATTCCGTTGTGGCACGACCCAGTCTGCCCCCTCAGGAATGGTGTGAGCCATCCCGAAGTCAATCAGTTTGAGGCGAGCCCCATCAGATGACACCATCATATTAGCAGCTGTGACAAAAATACAAATTATATTCATATCTTGGCAAAGAAACATCTAGTTTTCAAATGTTACCCACAAATAGAGGAAACATCCAAAGCTGATTGATGTATCCCTGTACTCTATACATATTTGACAGTGTGTTCTAAGACCTTACTCTAGTCTAGAGCCCGTCACACGCTGTGTCAGACAAATGCTTGAAAATGTGTGCGACAGAGCTCGAGGCTTTAATCAAGGAGGCTTAAACTCTGTACTTTAATCGTCTATATTCATGGAATAGAAGACATTATCAAGAACCTACTAGCAAGATACTGGGAGGCAGGGGCTTAACGTGACAGGTGTGTTACCTTTGACATCTGCCAGGATGATCCTCTGCTCCTCCAGGTAGCTCAGCCCTTCAAACACCTGACACAGGTAGAACAGGGCCATGTACTGGTGCAGCGTTCGGTACTGGTCAATGATGTTCTCCAAAGTGTAGCCTGCAAACAGCAGAAACAAAACTTACAACTGTTACATGGAAAAAGAAAGACAATAACTGTAAACTGTATCTTTTTGTTACATATTTTGTCTGACCCTTACCTCTTCCCTAGGCCCTCATAACCTCAGTGAAAAGCAATTTCCTGCAAGCCAATTTGAGCTTCTAACAACAGAATGTTGAAGATCCAACAGTTTTACCAGGTTGGTAAAAAAGTGTACAACATAGTTCTCTTAGCTACAAATGTACACAATGTTTCCTCTATCAATCCAATGTTTGAAAAGCTGCTCTTATCCCTTCATTAAATATAGTGGGCAAGGTGTCCTATTGTGTTCAAGAACTTGGGTTGAGATGAGCTTGAGTTGAATTGACATTTTGGGACTTAGGAAATTCACAAACAAACAAACAAACAGACCTTCCAGGAACTCCATGAAGATGTAGATGTCCCTGCCTTCGCGGACGGCGCCGAAGTGAGTAGCGATGTACGGGTTATCCAGACGACAGCAGATCTCCAGCTCATCACGCCTCACCTGGGTCACGTCCAACTTTGTAAGAGCAAAGAAAAAAACAACAACTTTGAAATGAAAGTTTGTACAATACTTCTACAGGCTCTTTGCTAACTCTGACATGGCCAATGTTAGTTATGAAATAGTTTTCTGACAGAAAGAATAACACATGCAACAATGCATTCAGTACAAAAACAGTACTATAATTCAAGAAATAAACTTCTATGCATTGATACTACATATAAGTTTGTACAGCGATCACTATTTGGTTAATATATCATGATCTGTATAGTCTTATAATTACGCAGCATGTAGACAAGGCTGATATATAATATGGGTAAAAAGAAACACAAAATCTCAACACAAAAGAGACAAAGACACAGTTGATGTTTAGGATGTTGTACTCAGTACTTGTTTATGTACCGTACTGTGTATTTGTTGTGTGTATTTTTATGTGTATCCAGGATTACCTGAAAAGCAGGCCAAAATGGCCTGAGCTGTAATTACTTGTTAAATAAATAAATTGAAATGAAGCTTTTCCTTGAATTGAAGCTTTCCTACCTTCTTGGCTGCAAAGTTAAACTCCTGTTCCTCCGACGCGAGGCAGCCCAGATACACGGTGCCGAAGCGCCCGCTGCCCAGCTCCATCACGCTCCACCACTGCTGATCCAGGCGGAACTGCCCGGCGTGCGGCGGAAGCCTCTCCTCGTGAAGGTCCAGGATGAAACCTTCGTTTCAAAGAAGTACTCTGTTATCATCTCTTTCCAACATAGTACCAGTAGAGCTACAGCATCTCATTGACAAGTCTTTATGTTCTTTACTGCTACCAGGATTCACATCACATTTACAAAACTCTTTGTTGCAGTTCTAAACTTTACAGAATACTTGCTGCCTTGTGCACTCCTTGTATTGTCATGTAACAAGTTTGAATAAATAAATAAAGGATCAAACCTTCGTGCTCCTGGTTTGTGACCCTCTTCTGCCCGCATATCTCCTTTTGTTATGTTATGTTCATTTTATTACTTTGATTATATGCCAATAAACAAACAAAACAAACCTTCGTGCTCCTGGTTGGTGACCCGCCGGTTGGTTGTCAGCAGCTCTTCTGCCAGCTGCTCCCAGTGTGCAGCAAAGATGGACATGTGTCTGGGTGGGACCACCGACACGGACCCTAGCTGTGGCATCACCGGCCGCTGTACCATGCTCAGGATACTGGAGATGGCCTCTGCCGGGAGAGGCATGGAGGACACCAGTTGGGAGAGTCGGTTAGGGAGGGCTGGTGCTGCTGCTGCCTGGTCTTGTAGCCCGTCTGGAGGTGCTGCGACCACCTGGCTGTAGTTGTACAGGGTGTTGTTGTACGAGGGAAGCAGTCCCCGCACTGATGACGTCACCTGGATGGAAGAGCTGACCAGGCTCTGCACGCTTCGCTGCTGGATGTAGTCGCCGCGCGTCGCGACGAGGTCTTCCCGTGTTTCTTCCGCACCTGAGCCCTTCTGCAGACAAGGTAGGTCGTTGTCGCTGAAGGTCACCCCTTCGTATCCGTCCTGGAAGTACGCGTGCACGGCGGCGCAGTTGTTTTGAGCAATGTCGTCTGGTTCTGCTGCCCCTGGGGTTTTTCCACTGCGAGGTGTTGCCTCTACAGGTCGAAGCTTGACGTCGCGCCGACCGATCGGATTCTCAAGCCTGAAGTCGTCGTGACAGAAGCCCTCTAAAGGTCCGACGTTGCAGGGAAGCACTTCTGGCTGACTCTGGGGGGCGTCTTCTGCCACTTGTGGTGAAGGAGGCGGCTGCTGTTCTTCTTGAGAATCGAGGGTGGATTTCTTCCGACGCCTGCGTGGTGGAGCGACGGGTGCTGGGGCAACTTCCGGCTCCTTCCTGCCTCCTCTAGGCCTGAGACAGGCTGGTAGCTTTCTCTCCTTTCTGTTTGGACCAGCTTGTGCGTTGGCTTGTGGTGGTGGTGGTTGCTGGGTCATTTTCGGCCTGGCACCAAGCATGGCAGACGGTTCAGGTGGCCTGACGGTGTTTCTTCCCATGTGAGGAGGACTTGCTGGTCTAACGTCAAGCGTCTTCGGCCGAGCACCGAGCATGGCTGATGGTGGCAGTGACGGTGGCGGCTGTGTGCTGTAAGGTAGCGACATGTACTCCCCGTACAGTTGTTGATAACCCGGGAACACAGGAAGGCTGGCTGGGCCCTCTGCACCACCTCCATACAGCAGACCCTGCTGTTGGTAAGACCTCGGTGCTGACCGTTTGATCGTGATCTTCAGGAAATCCCACAGCTTCTCCACGATGGCTTTCACCGGGCCTGGATCAACCTCGTGAAGCTTGATCTTCACATCGCGGCAGAAGGCGATGGGGCAGAGGCGGCGGGTGTTACAGGACCTGGAGTGGGCCACAGTGCAGTGGAACACGGCAGCACAGATCTCACACCGCACCGGGGGTTTGGAGCACCCTGTGACGTGTTTGACGGCGCCGTGGACCACCTTGCAGGAGGAACAGTTGCAGGAAGCCCAGTTTGCTGTGCCGCGGTGCTGCCTGTGTAGGTACGACTCCACCAGGGTCTGGATGAACTGTTGGACTTGGTTCTGCTCAGGGAAAACTACACCATCACTCAGCAGGGCAGTCTGGAGAAAGATTAGAGACATTTTTAGAGAAGATTGTCCAGATCACAAGGGTTCTTCTTATGCTATTAAAAAAAATGCATCCTACTACTTTCTTTGTCTTCCTGATCAGATTCCACATCAGACAAGTTAGCTCACAAAAAAACAACTTTTTTTCCGACAGACTATGTCCTAATGCTGTCTGAGGTCACCGAAAGTTTCTAAAACATTATGGGCTACACTCAATTTTACTGCTACTTTCTTACCAAAGTGGTGATAACTTCCTCATCTTCTTGAAGGTCTGATGCCGACTCAGCACCTTTTTCCTGCAGGAGTAAAAAATAAATTTACATTAGCCAGATGCATAACTGAACATTACTATAACTATTGATGATGTTAGCAACAGTACAACGTTCTACATATTCTTTATTAACAAGATAGGCAAATAGTAAATGCAGCATTTAAAGCCATGAGTTGACAAAGTTGTTACCTCTGGTACAGTGGACTCTTCCTCTTCTGTCTCCTCTCTTCTCCCCCCTCCATCACTTGGTTCCCTTCGCAGAGGGGTGACGGAGGGTCTTCTGGGGGGGTCCCCATCATCACCACTGGCGGAGGACTGGCTGGTGGTCCGACAATGTGGTAGGGGGGCGCTCTGGGAGCCCGCACTCGAACTGGTCTGTATATTAGGACAGAAGGTAGGTTATAATGAAAGACAAACAAGATTTCATAAAACCAAAACAATGACATGTAGTTACACTGTTACTTTTCAATCTTTCTTTATGTTTTTCTTTCCTTATGCACAAATGATAGTACTACACATTCAAAACCCTCAGATTTTGTACATAAAATCTATTTCTCTAAACTACTAGTGTAAGAGTTCTTCAGTATATGTTACCTGTATCTGTGAGCCTGAGTTGGACTGCTGACTGTTCTTGTCACCAGGTGCTCTCCTGGCCGACTGACGACCCCCTCCCCTCCCACCACGCCTCCGGCCATGTGTGTTCTTGTACTTTGCTGGTTTTCTGTGGAACTGCTTCCTAAAATGGAGATTCACAATGTCAAAGGTGAGAAGCATAAATATCAAAGGTAAGTATAATGTGAAAGGTAAATAAGAATAGTGTCAAATGTAAGTACCATAAATACTCTTTTATGTTAAGAGAAATATTACAAACTTCAACTACACACAAAAAAAAAACAATTTGAAACTTTATTTTATTAAATGTACATTGAGTAAAAGTTACTTACTTTTTCACAACAGCATGATGATAGCTTGTTGTCTTCTGTTTGGATACCTCCTTCTTGTCTGCTAAAAGAAAGAATGAAATGAGTTCAAAGCCTTTACTTCTATGAAATCTTCATAATACAAAGTGGCGGGCGAAAAAAATAAAATAAAAACAGGCCTAGACATCCTATTATGGCCCCAAATGGTACAATAGGAGCCAATAAGTCAACACACCAGGCTGGTTCAAAATTTAAACAATGAATTTTGAACTTTTAATGATACCATTGCGTTGAAAGATGGAATAACTGTAACAACTAGGATGAAAAGGTCTGTTTTCAACTGTTCAGGGCAAAATATGAGCATTTTGCAGTTGATTCTGGATTTTTATTTTTATTTGCAAATCAGAAAAAAATGAAGCGGCGAATCCGTTAACCAAGAAATTAAATTGGTGTGGCCTTATATGCAATTCATTCCTGTAATAATATATACAATAGTAGACATTAAACTTACCTCCTTTGAAGGCCCTTCTTCCAGAATGTGCTATCTTCCTCTTGCCATGCTGAGTCTTGTAGTGTGTCTTCTTGGTTACCTTCTGTTGTTTCTTGGTCGGCTTCTGCTTTTTCTTCCCATCTGCCTTGGTCCTGTAAGTCATAACACAGAGTTAACTTCTACCCAGCAAACAGATTTAGAAAGGTATGCAATACACAGTGATACAGTTGGTCCAGCAGCAATGACAGTATAAATGTCCATTTTAACTCAAAAGGCACCATTATGCATGATAGTATCTTTCCCTCTTTTTTGTTATCTCACAAAAAAAATTATAGTAATATGTGTTTGAAAATACATCATTCTGCACTTACCCACTGGCTTCCTTCATGGTTTTTTCAAGCTCCTCTTCTGTATCTTTTTCCACCACATCAGTGGCAGCTTCGTTCTCCTCATCATCTTCTGTCTCTGAGGTGTCGTCATAGAAACAGGAGGCAGAATTCTTGTCTGCAAGGGTGTCAATCTTTTCCATCTCTTCCTCAACATCCTTGTCAGGGTCAGTTTCTTTGGGGTCTTCTTCCTTCTCCTTTTCCTTGTCTTGACTTTCTGAAGACTTTTCCGATTCTCTCTCAATCTCAGGGACGCCCTCAGACATAAGATGGAGGATGACTTCTGGGTACTCAGTGATTAGCAGCTTGGCAACAGCCCAAGGGTCACTGGACCCTGAAAAATTAGTCACAGGAGGACAGTCTTCTTCTTCTTCTTCATTGCTCTTCTCGCACTTTGCCTCCAAGTCAGCCTTGCTCCAACCCTGCTGGTCTTCGTCGACAAAGTCAGACACATGCTGCTTGCCTGTTTGTTGCTGAGGTTGGGTAGTGATGGTGCAGGAGGCTGCTTCTTTGTCATTAGACAGGCTCACTTGTAAGTCAGACTGCTCAGGCTGGGTAGTGATCGTACCATCCTCCTGTAACAGATAAGCCATAGGGATTTTTTATCTCAGCATGTGTATTACTTATTATAAGTAACACAAGTTATTTGAAACAGTCACAAATTTAATGAATTGTTTCCTAGCTTTATTCACCTCTCCAGCACACAAAAAACTGCATTTCTATTAACACCTCCCAATTCATACATTTTGCTGAACATCGGACATTTCATACTCTTTTAGAGTTAACTATCATTTAATCAATTCCCCCATGTGTATTACGTCAAGGGGCGGTTATACCTATGCAGATATAGATACAGAAGTCTGACTTAGCACTGAGTAACAGATATGATAGTTACAACAGGTGTAGGATATAGTACAACAAGCAAACTCACCTCCAAGTCCTCATCATATTTCTCTGTGAAATCGGTTTCTGTGTTGTCTGTTTCCGTCACTCCAGGCTTGACGATGCTGTCTTCCTGTTCCCCTTCATAGATGTACCTGTTATCAGTGACTGTGAGGATTTTCAGCACCTTGTCTGTGCCGTTACCCTTCAAGACTGAAGGATCGGGGACATCTTTGGATGTATCTGATTTTTCCTTTTCTTCCTTCTGCTTCAACTGGGCCTCCTTTGGAGTGGTACAGTCTGAGGTGACTGCCATTCCTCACATCTACAGAAAAAAAATGAAATAGAAAATGCTGACCTTAAACCTTAAGTCTCATAAAAAATTCCTCTGCAGTTTCTAGTTTTGGAATAAAGGTAAACATTGGTTAAACAGCTTTGATATTAATATTAATATTCATTGATTTTGATTTAATTTAAATTGATTTGATTGGGACACAGGCCGCTGTTCCTGGTGTTGTGACAATATTAGCAAGACATATTGTACAAAATCAGTCCCTACAAATCACAAACAAGACAAGAAATTTGATCTAAAAAAAAAGGATGTATATTCAGTTCAGTTTAGTTTATTACGATACCCTTTAGCCCATTACATATTCTGTTTGCATGATGTGACCACAGCTAGGCCCTACACATACTTAGATATGCACTACATGTACTTTCACGTTGTTTCCATGGGTTGGTTCTTAATCTGATCATGACTCATGCAGTTTCTATGGACTATCCCATTTAGCGATTTCAGGAGGGGTGTGCAGGTCATTTATCTACTATCAATATATATGCTATACAATATATAATACTATCAACCTATTCAGGACTAGAAAAATAGAAGGGTCAATATTTCTGGCAAAAACAGAAAATTTCTGAACAATGACAGAAAACAGAGTCTGAAGAATTTTCCCTGCATACAAAATATCTATCACTCAGACAAATGATCTGTATTCACCCAGGCAAACCAGTCAGTTAAATAGTGTACAAAAGTATACAAATACATGCCCTCAGGGCACAAAAACAACCATATTGATTCTTCTGTTTTTCTTGCAATTATTTCAAGAAAAATTAAATCTTTTATCTTTACATTCATTTACAAATAACAAAAAACAGAAAGTATTTCTACATCTACAGTATATCTGACCCAAGAAGGGGACTTAGAAGGGGAAGTACCATGTTCCTAGCTAGAGGTAGTATTTTCATAATAATGTAACACTGACTGAAAAATGTTAAGAAATTATTCTAATTATTTCTTTGCTTTAAATATGCATGTCAGAAATACCTGCACAGCTCCAATTTTACTTGCACTTAAACCTGTATGTCACAAACCTGCATGCTTTATTTCACACGAGCAGGAAACAGTTTACCTGAAAGGGGAAGTACCTAAATAACTTGCATTACTCAGCAATTTACACCTTCTAAACTGTTTTTCACAGGCCTTCAAACAAAGAAATTGAAATAAACACACCTTTATAATAATATAAAGCTAAGCTAGCCAATTCCAACTTAAAATGTCCTTGAATTGAGTATAGGACTGATGCCTACAATGTTTCTTTAGTTCGAAAATGACTTTCTCAGACTCTCTGAAATCTAGCCTATGATGATTGCTATTACTAAGTTCCAAGATCCTAATTCTGTAAAAAAAATTTGTAAGGAGACCCCATGTTTTCAAGGCTGGAGACAGCACACAAAGAACAAACAAACTTTGCAAAATAAATCTCTTCACCACACCCAAACAGGCTAGATGCCTGATGCAATAGCCAACGACATGATATATGCAAGCTTAGCTCACCTGGGTAATAGTATCCATATCCTCACGTCAGATATACAATGTGACTGTTACATTACAGCTTTTGACACCCTGGACTATGGATTGCTGCATAAAACCCTAAACAAGTTCAAAACTTGAAGCCAAGCGAACACAAAGAATGCAAGATGGCGGGTACACTCCCACTTCCCAGTCTTTGGTAAAAACAAAGTCCCCGGATGTTGAATGACAAGGCGGTTAGCTATAGGTTGTTGGCATTGTGTATGTTAGTGACTTCAAAGGTCAGCATCGCTGACATACCTGGAAGGCAACATGCCACGAAGTAACAACATTTGCACCTGTAGGGCAACTGTCTGACATTAATATGTGCATGTTCTATTTAGATAGTAGCCTGCTGTTGTTTGTAACCTTTAAAATCTTCAATCTGCTCAGAGTCAGATGACTTGGCTTGACTTCTTCCTTCTTAAAACCAAATTAAGGTTGAGCTATGTCCAAAGTCGTAAATTAAGCAGTGTACATACTGACAAGGTGTTTTGATATTGCTAGTCCTTCCAGTATTTAAGTAATGGTAGAGCTTATAGAAATTGAACATACATGTGTATTTGAAAGAAATCTTTCATTTGCTTACTACACATGCCATGAATAAAGAACTTCCAAACAGATCCTGGTATTGTAATTTGTATTTTTCACATCTCTGAATGTTGCAATGCCATGCGATATGTCAACACACTACAATAAAATTTGAACCTGTGCAAGTGACCACCTCGACATAAGGACCACCTGTCCAGTAGTGACCACTTTTTGGTGGTCCCTCATAATTTTCCCCATTGACAGAGGCACAGAGAATCCTGTTTACAGTGACCACCTGTCCACGTAGATCAGATTTTACCTGTCCATTGAGTGTCAGTTTTGACCGTACAATTCAAATTTTGTCCTGACACTGTACCAATCAGTGCAAGAGTCTGTCTCGTTCTGTGATCTACAACCAACACCTGACAGTAAACATTGATAAGGTGGACACACTGCCACACCGCCATTTTGTTATGGCGGGCGTAGCAAACAATTCCGACAACTTGTACGCCATCCTATCTCCCCAGATAACACAAACCTGTCTACTTTTATATGTATATTACACAATCTTTGTAACCATTGGTCAACATGGCATCAATTTCAAAACATGTCCAAGACAAAAAGCTTGAAATGAAAAACAAGAATGTGAATCATACTGTGACGTCATTTTTGCTACCTACCATTGTCGAATCATTTATCGAAAACAAGTAAATATCATTATATAAGCTTCGATTCCACCTTTGATGGTTTGTAAAACGTTTGGTATGAATTGTAAGGAATCCTGACACTGCTGCAAGCAGATTTAAGTATGACGTCACCTTAATTTAAGGTTGCTCGAACAAACAAGACAGGTTTGCAGCCGCCATTTTGTTAGAGACCTGTTTCCTCAAAAACAACACCCTCGTTTTTAATTCTACAGTCAACATCTTGTCTGCTACAATAACAGCCAAGAAAGTGTCACCTCAACTCTCCAAGTATGGGAAAGCTAGAATTTGCTGATATTATAAAGAAACTTAATTTTTCTTTGTCCTGGCTGAGGCCCTGGCTTCCTAGACATCACATGACCCCAGTTCCAAGTACTGAAGCCATGGTAAGTTCGAGGAAGTAATACCTTATCAGTGATACCATAGATACAGACCCAAATAATTTGCAACCACAAAGTCATAAATACCTCAAGAAATGTGAATAAAATACACAACCCTTGCTGGGCTCAGTGTATTTGGGACAACAGCCACAAGTGAAAGTGGGAGGTGCAAAACACCTAACAAAATTTGCATGTCTGTAAAAAAAACATTGTCCCACCACCAGACAATAGAAAGGTGTTTAAACTTGAATACGCCGATCTGACAACAGTGGAAGTCCTATTATAGATAATCAATGGTCCTATAGTGATGTAAAACATGTAAAATGGGGTACAAGAAAGGGATTTGACGCTCTCAGTTGACGATCATCACAACAAGAGCGAAGCTTGTTGAAATCGACCGGCCGGCCGGAGACGCGATCGGAGCTCAGACGGGGCGGTCCAACTCACAACACCCCTCCCCTAAAACGCCGCTTATCGGCCCTTAAACCACCATTCAACCCTCGTAGTTTCCGCTAGAGCGTTGGAACATACTCACAAAGCGGCTACTCACCTAGGAAGTGGCCCAAACTCGCTGATTTTCCGTAAAACTTGACCATAAACTCAGAAAAGTTAGTGGACTACTGCCGTTACTTATCAACTGATCACGAGTGATCACCCAGTCTTTGGTTGGGCGGACTGTTTACAATGTATGAGTCCTGTCGCCAAGAAAGTAGACCGTAAGGTTCAACGAAGAAAAAAACACGAAAAATAACCAGATATGTCAGTACTTTATGTGTATTTCATATTTAATGACAAGACAAAAGTTGGGTCATAAGTCAGTGATATATTGTCGGAGGAACTCACTGAAGTCAGCGGATGGATATCAAAACGGATAGTTTAATGATTACATCATCGTCCAGTGGCTTGGCGCGAAACAGGCGACCTTTGAACTCTGAAGCTTTTCCTGATTGGCTGACGGTATTTCCTCTGCAACAGGTGGCTATAAAGTATAAGAACTTTTAAACACTAAAATAACATGAAAATGGGTTTGTATGGAAATGTAATGTACATTCTGTGTTTCCTATGCATAATACAACTTACGTTATGTGTGGAGTGCAACATCAGCTTTAAATTTGCTGCCTATGTATTAAAGTGCCCCACTACCAGTGTGTATTTGATGCCTAGAATCTAGATAGAGTTCTATGATCTCATACTTTCTCAAAATGTTAAGTATTATACAATGTTTCTGACAATGCAAAAAGGTTCTCATTTTTAAGAATTACTTCATTCTATCAAACATGTATTCTCCAATTTCCACCCTACGACTTCAAATACACCCATTGACAACTCAAGAAACAGTAAGAGACAAAGCTAAGATTTTCATTTTCCTTTCATTTTATTTATTTATACAGGTTAGCATATCACCATTTTGGCGCTTTTCAAAGCTCCCTGTGACATACATAACATGATAAAAAGTAATTTAAGTACAATCAAAGGGTAATGATAAAAGAAACGGAACAGACTAATAAAGTACATAAAACATACAAAATAAATATGACAAATGATATAAATAATAATGGAACTGAATTTGCATATCAATGTCTAAAGGCAAAATGGAAAATTAACAACAAATCATATCAATTGTTGAGTAAAGAAAAGGTGGTCTTGAAGACACTGAGTGTTTTTGCAAGATGCTGATCTGTAGCAGCAAGGTACATGTAATGATGTACATTTGGCGAAAACACAGTGATTTTTGTGGTGTAGAAACAGAAGCTGTTTCTTGATAAAAGTTGGAATCCCATTCAGTTTCTCAATCTTAAGCTTTTCTTTATCTTCTCAATCTGCATGCCACCTCCCTCGTCCCTGCCTTTCAACTTCAACCCTCTCCTACAATGTATGTTTGGTCCAGCTTTAATACCTCCCAGCCCATCACTGTCGTCATATCACTGTGGCCATGAGCATGTACAGGATCTCAATTTGACTATTAAGTCATTATAAATTATTGCTACACTGTACATCTGTTGATCTGTTGACCACCACTTTGTGATTATTGTCTTCGTCAGAAAGACTATGAAATTATCTCGCCGGATTGTGGGTGACTGTGGATTTAGCAGAATAACTCTTGAATTGAAGGCATGATTCGACATCCGACTTATCAGACTCAATTTTGTTTGAAATTAGCCTGCTGCACTGCCCCTCATTTAATGGCCAGCTAACTCCCTTGGTCAGTAACATCCTTTTTTGGCCGATCTCCTCTGAGCCTGCAAAGGAGTCTGGTGGATACTACCAGGATCCCATCTCGAAGGCATCGACAAGAAGCAGTCGACATCAGGATGGAGTTTCCAGGCCAGGAGGGGAACGTGTTTTGTCCCTTGGTGGATGTTTGTGCCAGTCAAGTGTCCAGCTGAATCCCTGACAAATGATAATGAATATCAAATAATAAATATTCGTGCTAATTTAGTTTGAGCATTACATATGGACATGTCATGTCAGTATTGACCATGTCAACATTTCTGAAATTGTATCCTATCATACTATTACTTGTACAATCATCATGTATCATACTTAAGTAGAATATAATACCATATCATATATCATATCATATCATATCATACCACATCATATCATATCATATCATATCATTTCATATATGCCTGTATAACTTAACCTCAAATTCACTCATGGAAAGAGGATCAATTTACCTCATATCTGCCACCTGTTTCCCTGGACTGAATGCTTTGGTGATGTTTTCCCCATCTTTTCTCCTCTAGCCATTGATGTCATGTTATGTGATTCAACCCTAAGGAAAATAAGAAAAAGTGATGACTGTTCCATTCATGCTATTGTTTTTCTGACATTATAATGTTAACAGTAACGTTATAGAAAGATCACATAAGCAGTTGTTAGATACTATTCATAATACACATTTATTGATTTAATAAGAATACATCTCCAATCATGGAGGTAGAAGTTGAAACTACAATACACATTGTATCTCTCATATATCTTCCCTGAATCACACATGTCAAGCACTTGTACCAAACATGTCAGTCGTCATTTACTCAGTTTTCTTCCTTTGTATTACCCGAGCGGGTTTTCAGCTTTGCCTGGTAGCCAGACCACTGGGCGCTCCCGGGTATGTTTACGGCGCTGCGAGTGCTGCCCTCCCGCCCAGGCTATTCCGTACGCCCGGGGATTCTCACGGGGTTGGTTTCAGGGGCTGGTTGGACATATAGGCTACCAGAAAAGCCATATTCCTTCAAAGGAATTGGTTAATTGTAGCAAACATTACTAAGCCCGATTTCCCTGGTTTAAGACTGCGAGCAAAGTACAACAGCCACCGGAGCGGGGGACGCTACGGGACTTTGCGCGGGCGAATCTGCCGCTGGTCCCGAGGACATAGCTCCTCCAACGCGGTGACTTTTCCGCCGTGAATTTCATGGAATTCGTCCTCTTAAGTCGGCCCTTTGCACAGAATATGTTGGTCTTGACTAATTCAGTTGTCTGGCGTCTATATTATCGAGTATTAAAAGGAGGCGCCTTGGTTTTAGCCTGGTAATCATGCCACCAGGAGCTTCCCGGCATCTCTACGGCGCTGGGAGTGCCCCCCTCCCGCCCGGGACATTAACGCGTTTACATTACAGTTTACAGTACACGCGTTTACAGTACACGCGTTTACAGTACACGCGTTTACAGTACCCGCGTTTACAGTTTACAGTACTGTAAACACGTGTACTGTAAACGCGGGTACT